CTGTGATAATGCCGTGATGATGCTGTGTTGATGCTGTTATGATGCTGCAGTGACGCTGCAATGACTGCTATGACGTTGTGTAGATGCTGTGATGATGCTGTGATTATTCTGTGATTAGGCTGTGATGACGCTATGATGAAGCTGTGATGAAGCTGTGATGACGCTGTGATGATGCTGTTCTGACGCTGTGATGACGCTGTGATGATCCTGTAATGACGTTGCAATGACGCTGTGATGATGCTGCGATCAAGCTGTTATGATGCTGTGTTGATGCTATAATGATGCTGTGATGACAGTGAGATTATGCTGTTATGATGCTGTGATAATGCTGTGATAACGCTCTGATTGTGCTGTTAGGATGCTGTAATGATGCTGTGATGACGGTATGATGATGCTGTTATGACGCTGCATTGACACTGCAAAGACGCTGTGATGATGTTATGATGATTCCATGATGGCGCTGCAATGATGCTCTTGTGACGCTGTGATGACACTGTGATGACACTGATTATACTGTGATGACGCTGTGATGATGCTATGATGATGCCGTGATGACGCTGTGATGATGCTGTGATGATGCTCTTGTGACGCTGTGATGACACTGATTATACTGTGATGACGCTGTGATGAAGCTGCGATGACGCTGCGATTACACTGTGATGATGCTTTGATTACTCTGTGATGCCATTGTGATGACGCTGCTAAGACGCTGTGATGATGCTGTGATGATGCTCTTGTGACGCTGTGATGATGCTGTGATTACGCTGTGATGACACTTTGATGATGCTGTGATTACACTGTGATGACGCTGTGATGATGCTACGATCACGCTGTGATGACGCCATGATGATGCTATGATGATGCTGATATGATGGTATGATGATGCTGATATGATGCAGTGATGATGCTGTGATGACGCTGCGATGACGCTGTGATGACGCTGTCTTGATTCTGTGCTTACGCTGTTATGACACTCTGATGATGCTATGATGATGCTGTTATGGCGCTGTGATGACACTATGATGACGTTATGATGATGCTGGTATTACACTGCAATAATGCTGCAATTACTGTGATGACGCTGTGATTACGCTGTGATGATGCTCTGATGATGCTTTGATGATGATGTGATGATGCTGTGATTATGCTGGGATTATTCTGTGGAGATGCTCTAATGATGCTGTGATGACGCTGTGATGATGCTATGATCATGCTGTGATGACGCTGTTAAGATGCTGTAATGACGCTATGATGATGTTGTTATGACACTGTGATGATTCTGTGATGACGCTGTGATAACACTGTGAGGACGCTATGATTATGCTGTGCTGACACTATGATTATGCTGTGCTGACACTGTGATGATTCTGTGCTTCCGCTGTGATGACACTGTGATGATGCTCTTGTGACGGTGTTATGACACTCTGATGACACTCATACTGTAAAAATGCTGTGATGACGCTCTGATGATGCTGTGATAATGCTGTGATGATGCTGTGATGACTCTATGACGATGCTGTGCTGACACTGTGATGATTCTGTGCTTCCGCTGTGATGACACTGTGATGATGCTGCGATGATGCTGTGATGATTCTGTGCTTCCGCTGTGATGACGCTGTGATGATTCTGTGATGACGCTGTGATGATGCTGTGATGATGCTGTGATGACACTGTGATGACGCTCTGATGACACTGTGATGACGCTGTGATGACGCTATGATGACGCTCTGATGATACTGTGATGATGCTCTTGTGAAGCTGTGGTTATGCTGTTATGACGCTGTGATGATGCTGTGATGACGCTGTGAATACGCTCTGATGATGCTGTGATGATGCTATGACGATGCTGTGCTGACACTGTGATGATTCTGTGCATCCACTGTGATGACGCTGTTATGATGCTGTGATGACGCTATGATGATGCTGTGTTGACGCTGTGATTATTCTCTGATGACGCTATGATGACGCTGTGATGACTCTGTAATGGCACTGTGATGACGCTGTGATAATGCAGATATGATGCTGAGATGGTGCTGTTATGATGCTGTAATGATGCTATGATGATGCTGTGTTGATGCTGTTATGACGCTGCGATGATGCTGTGATGACCCTGTGATGACGCTATGATAAAGCCGTGATGATGCTGTGATGACACTACGATTATGCTGTGATGACACTTTGATTATGCTGTGATGATGCTGCGATGATGCTGTGATGATGCTGTGATGACGCTGTGATGACGCTGTGATGACGCTGTGATGACGCTCTAATGATACTGTGATGATGCTCTTGTGACGCTGTGGTTATGCTGTTATGACACTTTGATGATGCTTTGATGACGCTGTGATTATGATGTGCTTACGTTGTGATGATGCTCTGATGACCGTGTGATGACGCTGTGATGATGCTGTTATGATGATGCGATGACGCTTTGATGACATTGCGATGATTCTGTGATGATGCTGTGATGATGCTATGATGATGCCGTGATGACGCTGTGATGATTCTCTGATGATGCTGTGATAACACTGTGAGGATGCTATGATTATGCTGTGATGACGCTATGATGACTCTGTGATGATACTCTGATGACACTGTGATGACGCTGTGATGCCGCTGTGATGCCGATGAGATGACGCTGTTATGATGCTGTGATGACGCTGTTATGATGCTGTGATTACACTATGAGGATGCTGTAATGATGCACTTGTGACGGTGTTATGACGCCCTAATGACACTGATTATACTGTAATGATGCTGTGATGATGCTGTCATGATGCTGTGATTAAACTACGATGATGTTCTGATGACGCTGTGATGATTCTGTTATGATTCTGTGATGACACTCTGGTGACGCGGTGATGATGGTGTTTTTACACTGTGATGATGCTGTGATGATGCTGTGATGACTCTATGACGATGGTGTGCTGACACTGTGATGATTCTGTGCTTCCATTGTGAAGACGCTGTGATGATTCTGTGATGACAACTTGTCAACTGCATGAAGTTTAACAAGGCCAAGTGCCGGATCCTGCACCTGGGGCGCAATAACCCCAAGCAGAGCTACAGGCTGGGAGATGAGTGGTTGGAGAGCTGCCAGGCAGAGAAGGACCTGGGAGTGATGGTGGACAGTCGGCTGAATATGAGCCAGCAGTGTGCTCAGGTGGCCAAGAAGGCCAACGGCATCCTGGCTTGGATCAGAAACAGTGTGACCAGCAGGGCTAGGGAGGTGATCGTCCCCCTGGACTGGGCTCTGGTGAGGCCGCACCTCGAGTACTGTGTTCAGTTTTGGGCCCCTCGCTACAAGAAGGACATGGAGGTGCTTGAGCGGGTCCAGAGAAGGGCGACGAAGCTGGTGAGGGGCCTGGAGAACAAGTCCTACGAGGAGCAGCTGAGGGAGCTGGGCTTGTTCAGCCTGGAGAAGAGGAGGCTCAGGGGCAACCTTATTGCTCTTTTTCAGATACATTAAATGAGGCTTTAGCGAGGTGGGGGTTGGCCTGTTCTCCCAAGTGCCTGGTGACAGGACGAGGGGGAATGGGCTTAAGTTGCGCCAAGGGAGCTTTAGGTTGGATGTTAGGAAGAATTTCTTTACTGAAAGGGTTGTTAGACACTGGAACAGGCTGCCCAGGGAGGTGGTGGAGTCACCATCCCTGGAAGTCTTCAAAAGACGTTTAGATGTAGAGCTTAGGGATATGGTTTAGTGGGGACTGTTAGCGTTAGGTCAGAGGTTGGACTCGATGATCTTGAGGTCTCTTCCAACCTAGAACTTCTGTGATTCTGTGATTCTGTGAAATAATATAAGCATCGGAAACCAAGTGGTCTCTATCCCATGGTAAGCTACGAGGTATTGGAAATGATTTCAGCCATCATCTCAGTGAGCACATTGTCAGCTGGCTGCTCCAGTGGTGGGAGAACAGGGCCAATAGCCTGGAATTAGAAGGCAGGGAAGCCAAGCAGCTGGGATCCTCCTGTAGGTGATTGACAAAGCCGTTGCAAATGGGCACAAGGAAACGTAATCCTGTCAGGCATCAAGGAAAGGTCTCCCTTGAAGGAAGATCTTGTATGTCAACCAGGAAAGTGGACCACCATGCGGAGGGGTATCCGGTACCTGAGGGAATTAGAAGGAGATTTGCTGAAGGAGATTTATAAAAACCTAGATAACAAACAGCTATCCAAAGATCCAGATGAAGTCAAGTGCACATGACCCATGGGGCAGGAGTTTGTACAGAGCACACCATCATCGTATGCCAACCCATGGGCAGTAATGACCTGGAAAGACCAAGAGGAACCCATGGTGGATGAATTGGTTAGCCAACTATGGCATTACAAAGCAAGTCTCTCTTCTTCCCTATGGGCCTGTGTCTTGTCCAGAAAGAAACTTTTCCAAGAGGTCCAACAACTACAAGAGAATACGTCTTCCACCCCACCTGCACGAACAAATAGCTCAGCTATCAGATGTAAGCATCCCTCTGCTTAACAAAGATGACATAGTGGGTACATACCAGGTTCCATCCTGTGCTTTTGACTGTGTGACCATGGAGAGGCCATGAGAAAATGGGATGCAAAAATCGACCTCCACCTTAGAGGCACGGATACATGAAGTGCAAGGAAAAATAGATTGTCAAAACGGGGTTCTTCTGAGACACTTGCTACTCCAATTTCTAGTAGGCAATCCTCCAAACAGAGTAAAGAATACTATGAGCAGGACTCGAGGGGCCCAGCCTCCACCCTGGGGGAGGGAGAGGAAAATCGGGTATATTGGACTTTGAGGATTATTGGCCTGGCACATCAAACCCAAGAGTTAACTATACAGGAGGCTGAAGCGAGTCTAACGGGGAAGGAGTGGCAAATGCAACCCATTGGGACTGGCCTGGAGGCTCTGTGTAACATTGGCATAGACTACTTCAGGAGATCCACAAGGGTATTGGTGGGCTTTTGGCATAGCTGCCTTGGAGGTGGAGGACACCAAGCAGTTGTCTACCTTGCCCACTCTTTCACAGGACCCTTCTGCTGTGGAGGTGCTGATGGGCAATGAGCAGCAGGTGCCAATTGCTAACACAACAGTGCACCTGAGGCAATATTGCACTAACAGAGACTCCCTGAGTCCCATCTATGAGCTGGTTCATCGACTGGAGAGCCACGGAGTGATCAGCAATACTTGCTCACCCTATAATAGTCCCATATGGACAGTGCAAAATTCGAATGGTGAGTGGAAGATAACGGTGCACTTCTGTGGCTTGAATGAAGTCCCACCACCACTGAGTGCTGCTGTGCCAGGCATGCTAGAACTTCATTCAGTATGAACTGGAGTCAAAGGCAGCCAAGTGCTATGCCACAATTAATATTGCTATATATTGCTAATGCATTTTCCTCCATTCTTTTGACAGCAATACGAAGGCCACACTTTGCTTTCACATGGAGGGTCGTCCTGTCCACCTGGAATTGACTGCCCCAGGGCTGGAAACACAGCCCTACCATTTGCCATGGGCTGATCCAGACTGCTTTAGAGTAGGGGGAAGCTCCTGAAAACCTTCAATACCTTGATAACATCACTACATGGGGTAGCACAGCGGAAGTATTTGAGAAGGGAAACAAATGTTGCAAATCCTTCTGAAAACTTGTATTGCCCTAAAACAAAGTAAGGTCAAGGTAAGGTAAAGAGCCAAATGCAGGCTGTCCAGGTTCTGTGGGACCCCTGCTTCGGGAAAGATTAGGCATTGGTCAGTGCGTGATGAGCAATTGCACTGTGCATCACTTGCTTTATACATATAACAATAATAAAAATAAGGTTTATAATTATTTATTATTAGTATTGTTACTGTTATTACTGTCTCTTCATATTCTGTCCTTTTAACTACCTTTGTTTCAAGCAATTATATTTTGGGTGTTGAGTGTGAGCTAACATCTGTGTGGTGCTGAGGTTCCTGACAATTTAAAGCACAACATGTTTAACAACCACAGTCCAACAGCACAAATCACACTTTAAACAATCAGTTTCTGACATCTACAGAGAGAAGAAGTCGGTGATGACTTCAGGCTGCTTCAAACACCACCCCCCAGGAGAGACCTTGCTGCCTTCAGGAGCTGTCAGTCCTGAGGCCTTGGGGACACCTCGAGGGAGCCCAAGGGCACAGAGCAAGCGATGACATGGTCGGCTGCTGTGCTGCTGAGCTGGGCCGGGCTCCTGGGCCCAAGGGGAGCTCCTTGAAAGCACTGCAGAGAGCCAGCTGTGCCCAGGAGCAGCTCCTCTGCACAGCACAGCAGGTCTGGGGGCTCTGACCGCAGCTGGCACACAGAGAGGAGAGAAAGAGAGAGCTTGGAGGCAGTGAGGAGCGCAACAACAGAGGGCAGCGTGTGGCAGGACACATCTGCAGGCTCTTGACACCATGAGGCTCTGGCAGCAGGGCAATGCAGGTGGGGTTCCAGAGGGGTCTTCTACACCTGGCACATCTGATGGTTGAAAGCATCGGTCAGAATGGTTCAATCTGTTTCTCCAGTGACAAGTAGAAGACGATTTAGAAAATGGCATTTATGAGTCATTTCCAGAAGAAGATTGAGACTCAGTTTGTGTGACATAGAAGGTTTATTTTGGTTCTGTGCTTTCCAATTCCTGAATTGCTGGGGAGGCAAGTCTGATCGTAATGTGTTCTCAAGATTGTAGAAGAGACTGAGAATCCCAGAGCATTGCACAGAGAGATCTCAACGGAAAAAATGAGATTCTTACAGGTTCTAGTGCAATGAGAGAAGATCATCTGGGGGATGATCTAAGACATGGAATAGGTTTTCCTTATTGAAGTCTGTTCTAACTTCTGCATTCTCCTCTTCAACAGGCAGCTGTGTTTAATGTCAGCAAATGCCCAACAGCAGCTCTGTGAATGAGTTCCTCCTGCTGGCATTCGCAGACATGCGGGAGCTGCAACTCCTGCACTTTGTGCTCTTCCTGGGCATCTACCTGGCTGCCCTCCTGGGCAACGGCCTCATCCTCAGCGCCGTAGCCTGTGACCACCACCTCCACACCCCCATGTACTTCTTCCTCCTCAACCTCGCCCTCCTCGACCTGGGATCCATCTCCACCACAGTCCCCAAAGCCATGGCTAATGCCTTCTGTGACACCAAGACCATCTCCTATCAAGGCTGTGCTGCACAGGTCTTTCTCTTTGCCTTCCTGGCGGGTGTGGAGTTTTCTATCCTCACCGTCATGGCCTATGACCGCTACGTTGCCATCTGCAAGCCCCTGCACTACTGGAGCCTCCTGGGCAGCAGAGCTTGTGCCCAGATGGCAGCAGCTGCCTGGGGCAGTGGCTTTCTCCATGCTGTCCTGCACACGGCCAATACATTTTCCCTGCCCCTCTGCCAAGGCAATGCTCTGGACCAGTTCTTCTGTGAAATCCCACAGATCCACAAGCTCTCCTGCTCAAATGCCTACCTCAGGGAAGTTGGGGCACTTGTGTTTAGTGTTTCTTTAGGCTTTGGTTGTTTTATTTATATTGTGGTGTCCTACGTGCAGGTCTTCAGGGCCGTGCTGAGGATGCCTTCTGAGCAGGGCCGGCACAAAGCCTTTTCCACGTGCCTCCCTCACCTGGCTGTGGTCTTCCTAATGGTTGTCACTGCAACAGTTGCCTACCTAAAGCCCCCTTCCATTGTTTCCCCAACCCTGGACCTGGTGGTGTCATTTCTGTACTCAGTGGTGCCTCCAGCAGTGAACCCCCTCATTTACAGCATGAGAAACAAGGAGCTCAAGGGTGCAGTGAGTAAACTCTTTCTCTACGTGCCTCTTAAGTATCAAGAATGTCTTCAATATCTTTGATTTTGGTTTAATATTATTCTTGGCCTTCTTCCTGTTAATTCATTTACTTACTTTGACGGTATCATCTAAACTACTTACAGAACTAGTCTTCCAGTGTACATATAGGGAATAAAGAAGCCATGAGAACTTTACTGATCTCATCTTTCCTTTCTTCCCATCACCTCTCTAGCCAGGGGAGCAGTCTCAGCTCAGGGCCAAGAACCCAGCTGCCACTGGGAGGGGCAGCCCTGGTGGCCCTCAGGGCTGCCCTCCACTGCCTGCTGGGCTCTGACCTCTCTGCTGCCTTGATAGAATCATAGAAAAAGACCTCCAAGTTCGTCCCATCCAATGACTGTCCTTCTAATCATGTCACACAAACCCACATGGCTAAACACCATGAGGTGGGTTTGCTTCTCAGCCCCTTACCTTTACACTTGCTCTCTTGATGAACCTGTTCCCTTCCCTTTACAATACCATTAATATGCTCTATTTAATCCTAGATAACTTTTTACCAATGTGAAGAATACCCTAAAATGCAAAGTTTGCCCATAGTCTAACCACAGACCTGACACCCTAAGCAGAACACCAAACCCTCCCACCAAGCATTTGTTTAATCTCTAACCCAAAGCCCCTCTTCTTGTGCATTAACCTCCTCATGTTAAACCCTCTCCTAAACCTTAACTCTGAGATCATGAAAGCCATCAGAAAGCTGATCCCAGTGAGATGACTGATATGGGAGGTCAGGAGAAGCATGGACAGGAGAGATGTGAGATTTGGGGGAGGGAACAGGGGCTTGACCAGCAGAAATTTGGGATTTTGTAGAGGTAAGAGGGTTCAGGTTATGCTGATGCTGCTGTAATACTGACTTAAAAGAGTCATATTAGGCCCTTCTCCACTTTCAACCAGTAAACTTAATTCATAAATATAAATGCTACCCCACACCCTGACAAGAATCTACTACTCTTATGCCTGACATCAAAGTATGCACTGAAGCCAAAACTCAGCCCATAGCCTCTTGCCCTTACCTTTACTCTGTTGCTTACCTTGATCCCTGCCCTTAACACATGCTTGTAATAGCTCTATTTAACCCTAGATTTCTAGGCAGACCTAAACAAAACCTTGAAACACAAAACTTACCCATCCCCTAACCACAGACCTGACACCCCAAACAGAACATCAAACCTACCCACAAAACAGAGGATTAATCTCTATTAATCACTCAGAAAGGTGAATCCTAGTCCCTAATCCCAAAAGTAAACATAAACCAGACAAAGCCCTCATTCCCCTGCATTAACCTCCTCATCTTCAGACCTTCTCCTAACCCTTAACTTTGGTCGTTTCGCCCCTTGGGGCAAGACAGGAATTGTGACACTTCTCTGAAGTCACATGGCATTCAAACACAGATGTGAGCAGCAGCAGGAACGTGTCACAGAAAGGGACTGTGAGGTCACTTCTGTCTGTAGCTGGCAGGTCACCCTTGACATAGACCTGGGATCTGGACTTTTGGGCTGACATCTGGCAGTGGCCCTGCTAGGCCAGCAGAAGGCCCCTGTTTGGCATGCTGACTGGGGGATCCCCTCTGCCTCCAGAGCCAGGAGGACCCAGGCAGAAAGAAGGCCCCAACATGGGTTGTCCTGTCACAGAATCACAGAATCACAGAATTTCTAGGTTGGAAGAGACCTCAAGATCATCGAGTCCAACCTCTGATCTAACACTAACAGTCCCCACTAAACCATATCCCTAAGCCCCTAAGCTCTACATCTAAACGTCTTTTGAAAGTCGCTGTCCCTTCTGCTTGAGTCCATGACTGCACAGCAGGAGGCACAAGGCTTGGCTGTGTCTAGCCAAGAAGCTGCAAGGCCAGCAGCAGGCCCATGTCTTGGAAGATGCTGCTGAGTGTCTATGATCAGACCCTAGCTTTGTTTTTCAAGGAACAGCTGGTGAGGGTTGATGAGACATTTGTGAAATGATGGAAATGCTGGGATGGGAGCAAGGTGGTGAACAGAGATGGCTGTCTGCAGACTTCCAGGAAGTAGGAAAAGGTGTGGGACAGCATTTTAAATCATGCAGAGGAGATTGTCCTGCACACGGCCAATACATTTTCCCTGCCCTTCTGCCACGGCAATGCTGTGGACCAGTTCTTCTGTGAAATCCCCCAGATCCTCAAGCTCTCCTGCTCGGATGCCTACCTCAGGGAAGTTGGGGCACTTATGCTTAGTGTTTCTTTAGCCTTTCTTTGCTTTGTTTTCATTGTGGTGTCCTATGTGCAGATCTTCAGGGCAGTGCTGAGGATGCCCTCTGAGCACGGCAGGCACAAAGCCTTTTCCACATGCCTCCCTCACCTGGCTGTGGTCTCCCTCTTTATCAGCACTGCCATGTTTGCTTACCTTAAGCCCCCCTCCATCTCTTCCCCATCCATGGATCTTATTGTGTCAGTTCTCTACTCAGTTGTTCCTTCATCAGTGAACCCCCTCATCTACAGCATGAGGAACCAGGAGTTCAAGGATGCAGTAAGGA